CGGTGGAATGCGCGGGCGGGCTCCGGCCGCGCGTGGGAGAGACGGCTTTGTGGGCCCGCCGCGCCGGGAGCCGGCGCCCCCTCGCCGGGACCCCTACCTGGGCCCCCGGGAGGAGGGCTACTCACCCCGAGATGGCTACTCGAGCCGAGACTACCCGAGCGCCCGCGACCCCAGGGATTTCGCGCCCTCGCCGAGAGAGTACATCTACCGCGATTACGGCCACTCCATTCCCCGGGACGACTGTCCGTCGAGAGGCTACAGTGACCGAGACGGCTACGGGGGTCGCGACCGTGACTACGCGGATCATCCGAGTGGAAGCTCCTACCGAGACATCTTCGAGAGCTACGGGGACCCGCGCGGCGTTGCCCCCGTGCGGGGCCCGCCGCCATCTTACGGCGGAGGCGGCCGCTACGACGAGTACCGCAGCTGCTCCCCCGACGCCTACGGCGGCGGCCGCGACAATTACACCAGTGGCCGGAGCGACCGCTATTCCAGGGGCCGCGAACGGGTAGGCAGACCGGATCGCGGGCTCCCCCCGTCCATGGAAAGGGGGTGTCCTCCTCCTCGTGATTCCTACAGCAGGTCGGGCCGGAGGGCGCCCCGGGGCGGAGGCCGTCTTGGAAGCCGCCCGGAGAGAGGGGGAGGCCGGAGCAGATACTAAACACGAACAGACTTGGGACCAATATCCGTTTTCAAAGAAATTAGCGAAAAAGAGAACCTGTTCTATGATAAGTACCCAAGGACTCGTACGAAGAAGAGTTGTTTTTACCTTTAAAAAATTTCCTGTTAAATTCCTCTCTCTAATTTTTATGCTTTTGAGAGGAAAAAGTTAAAACTCGTTTAATTTCGTTTTGGAATTGTTAACGTTTCTTTCAACAAGCCCATGTTAAAAGTGTAAGACATGAACCTGCGTGCTAGTGTTCTTGTATTTCCAAGTAGAAATTCTCCTAAAGGCTCCGTCCTCTCTAAAACATTTTCTGATAAACGAGGCAAGCGATTGTAACATCTTTCACAAACATCTACCCAGCTGAGATGGAAAGATGGATCAGTCTGCCCATTCAAACCAACTAGGTTTTTTGGAGGGGGGAGTAGTAGGATTGGTATATGCCGATCTTAAAATTCCAGGGTATTTTCTTTGAAACTGAGTATCAGTGTTCCCACTCATTAAAAACGGAATAACCGACAGCAAAACTACTTAGATAAAATGCTTATGTCAGTAAATGTTAAAGGGCAAACATAATGCTGCTTTTGCCTTTTTGCCATTTCTTTGAGAATCTGCAGAATTTCTTGTCGTTCCCCCCCCCCCATTAAAACCATTCTTACGTGTTGAGCAACGATGGAATACTAAATTAAAAATTTGGCCAACCACAAAGTTGCAAAAAACAAAGTAATCAGTTACTAGCATTCATTTTCACCACCAACAAATTATTAAGAAACAAGTAAAAAATATATTGATGGTGGATTTTTGGACCATGTTGACTTTCCAAACTCCAAGCTAGTTGTTCTTTGCTCTTGAGCCAAGCAGTATCTCCTGTGGAGAGAATTGGGCTTCTTCCCCTGGGGTGGAGGAATCAAATGTGAGCGGCATCAGAGCTCTGGGAGCAAAGGTCAGAGGTCAGAGAATCCCTGAAAGAGCTTGGCAGTTTAACACCTGAGGATCTCAACCTTGTATGAGGGGGCTGGGGCTTCCTGTCCACAAAAGGCAAGGGAATGGGTTGAGTGTTCCTTATTCCTGAGGTGGGCAGAAAGGCTAGAACAGAGAAACTTTAGAGAGGCTTTCTCCAAGGTGCCTCAGGGAGGACTATAACCATCTCTTTTTACCCCAAGCTCAGAGTAAGAAATGCCTTTTCCATTCAGCACCTGTGGAATTCCCTCATATCTATTAACTCTAACTCTCGGACCCCCAATTATCTGAGAGAAATAACTACAACCAAGAGATCCAGAGAAAGAAGGATCAGGTTAAAATATTAGGACCCATGTTCAGGGTAATATAATTGCTGGAAGAAACAGATGAACACCTTAACAACAAAAAAGCACCAAATGCAACACACTCTCACACAACTCTTTAAAAACATGATTTTTCAACAAAATAATAAAGCAGGTGTATTAAAGAAGTGGCCCCACTAGTGGGCCAGAAGATCAAATGCAAGAAATAGCTCAAAAAAAAAAAAAAAAAAAAAAAAAATTAAGATCCAGGAATTACTCTAGTGAAAAATGTGTAAGACTTTTATGGAAAAAAAAATATTTATTGAAGGTCATAAAGGAAGAACTAAACAAATGGAGATTTATATGTTCATGGTTAGGAAGCTTTTTATCAATTTTTCTCAATCTCACCAAATTAATTTTGAAAATCAATACAACTTCAAATGAAGTCAAAACATGATTTTTTTCCCCCTGCAGAGCTCCACTCCCCTCTTTTACAATACCATTTCTTTGTGTTGATCAATGATGGAGTAGTAAATAAAAGATTTGGCTCCAACCACAAAACAAAACAAAAAATCAGTAGCATTTATTTCACCAACAAATTATGAAACAGGTAAAAAAGACACTAATGGGATATTTAGCTGATCCTAAAAATTATATGATGGAATAAAGAGCAAGAAGAAGAGCCAAAGCAATTTTGAAAAACAGTGATTAGGAAGGACTCACCCTACCAAATATCAAGACTTGCTATAAAGTTCTAGTAATTTAAGCTGTTTGATACTTAACAGACAAGGACACACCAATTGTATCAGAAAACATGACAAAGGTAGCTTTAAAATTCATTGGTGAAAGGATGGACTTTTTTAAAAAATCGCTATCTTTTTACAAAAAGGTAAAACGAGATTCCCACCTCACAATATTTAAAAAAAAAATTCTAGATGGTTTGAAGACATAAATGTGAAGAAAATTTTAAACGCAAGAAAGTAAGAAGAACTGTATAACACTGGGGTAGAGAATTCCTTTTTAAAACACACAAAAAAAAACCTAGAAGGAAACAATTGATTCAGATTTTCCACATCATTAAAAATTGTTTATGATAAAGACATTATTAACGTGAAATGTCAGAATATAGGTTGGAAGAATATGTATGCATTGAAATAGATTCCAAAAGAATGCTTAGAAATTAATAAGGAAGAAAAGAATTTATACCATTCTGGTAGATACATAAATTGATAGAAATCACTTTGGAACTAATTTTGGCATTCCAAGTAAAGCTGGAAAGTGCATATTTTATGACTCAGAAATTCCAGTTAAAGGACGTAGAGAAATGTGCACATATACACAAGGAGATAATGTCCAAGATTGGTCATTACAGCACTGTTGGTCAAAAAAGTAGAAACGGCCTACCTGGAGTGGACTAACGGAGGTTTATTCATATAAGGAAATTCTGTGTGCCACCTAATGTGAATCAGCCAGATCTGCATACATCAATATAGGTAACTATCAAAATACTTGTTTGGTGAAAAAGGCAAATATTGTAATAGGTATAGTAAAAAACCAAAAATATAACTGGAGTGATGCACAAAAAAAAAAAAAAAAGGATAATCTTTATCCTGAGGAGGAAAGGAAGGAGAATGGGTAGGGAGAGGACTTTAGTGGAATCTGTAATATCTTCTTTAAAAGAGAGAAAGATCTTAAGCAAAAATGACAAAATGTTAACATCTGTTCAGTATCTGGGGCATGTACATTGGTATCTCTTCTATTAAGATCAAAACACTTCATAATACAAATTTTACTATGAAAAATAGAGCTTAGCACAGCACCCAGTATTTAATAACTACTGAAAAAATGTTAACTATTACTATTCTGAAACTCTTTTAGATGTAACATTCTTTCTTCCCTACTAATATCCTGGTTTATCTTGACAGTGATTCTCCCTTCAGACTTTGTTTTCTAATCAATATGGGTGATGCCTTACTGTATTTGGTTCAGTCTCAGTTCATAGAACAGTTACTATTCTAGACTGCTAACACCTAGCTCACAGTAATCTCACGGGTAGAACTTGCACAACAGAACCAACTCATAAAGGAAGGTGGCATTCTTGCCTTTGGCATCCCTTTTGAAACATAACAGTGAGGATGAACTTTTTCCAATTTTTGGAAAAGCTGTTTCTGCAGCTTAATCTCCTGGATATTAAATCTTAATAACTTTTAAAAACTACAAGTATGAAAGTTTGCAAATAAAGACTTATTTCTGGAACTTAACTGAGTTCAAGAGATTATAGACACATGAAGGCTGTGGATTTGCCATGTACATAAATAATGCAACAGCCTCAGTATTTTCTTACTGGAAGGTAACGTATTAAAGTTATCTTTGTAGGAAAGATAACTATTCCAAGAGATCTTGTCAACTGAGAACTCTTGTTTATAATAGTTTTTCATAATGATGACAGAAACCATCTCACGTGTTTCCCAGGACTCACCCACTGAGTAAAATTTAAGGAACCTGCATGATACAACCAAAACCTTTATATTCTCTACTTTGAGCTTCTCTCAGCCTACTCTTCAGACCCACATCTCCTCCACATTCCTTCTGTCCAAAATAGGGTTCCAGGAGCATCCAAACTATCCATGTGGCAACTGACAGCATTACTGAATATTTCCCCCACAGGTGAGGCCTGAACATCTTCCATCTCTAGTCATCACCTGTGTCTTCTGAATCCTACTGTGGCTGCTGGGGCTATCATAAAGAGTGCTGGAGGTAGAATTCTTAGTTTCCTATAGGTCAATGGTTCTTCCTTTTCCCCTTGCTTCAGGCCACACGAGATGGGGAAGACTTTTCTGCCTGTATTCCTCCCACCTGAGGCCTCTCTACCATTTCTCAGTATTAAGATTTTGTGGGGTCCATCTGCTTCTCTTTTAACCCTTACTTTAAACGCACTGTGATTTTTCCTTTTCTTCCTCCACAGAAATTTCCCTATTTGGGGACTGTTAAGTATATTCTCATAGATGTTTCCTTTTTGGGCATATTCGGGAACTCACCAAGCAGATTAGGCTTTGTTGCTATTGTTGTGCACACATGGAATCCAGTGGTAGTGGGAATTCCTTTCAGAATCTTTATATTCCATTTGCAATGAAGTTGTTTCTGAAGCTAATTCCTCTTACAGTGTAGCACATCTGAGAACTCTGGAGGAACTACAGAACAATGATGACCCTATTTGAATGCATTCCACTATCATATTTATTAAAATGCTCGAGAATGAAAACTGAGGACCATTTATGAAATTTTCAGGAAAAAGAAAGAGTGAAGTTTCCCCATAATGTTTGGAGGCTGTTTGTTACAGTGGAGAGATAAGGAATCTTTTGGTCATAGGTATGAGTCCCAATTCTGCTACTTATTTGTGTGGTTTGGACAATTTTCTTAAAAATTTTGACCTTTGGTCTTTTTTTTTTTCCATGTGCACAATGGTAATGATAATACCATCTCATAAAATTTCTGAAAGCTTTCAATAAGATAACGCATGTAACGCACCCCACACAGTGCCTGGGATGCAGTGAGGTTCATTAAATGGGAGCACCACCACATTCTGCACCCAGCAGTAGCACAGACTTTCCTTTGGAATTTATCATTTCCATTCCTAGTGTAGTTGCTTCTGTACTAGAAGTCTTCATGAAAGTTCAACTTGAAAATTTTATGGTTTTTATTCATGCTGTACTCACCCAGCTTAAAATCTTGAAG